GTAGACGGTCTGCTCTGACAGGCTGTCGGTGGAGACGGTTGTGCTTCAAAGTTGTTTTAATAGTCAAATTGTGCTTTGTGGTGCTTTACTTTTGCCTCCACCTCATGATGTGTTAGTTAACAGTGTGACAGTGATCACTGAGGTGTTATTATAGCACACTTTTTTTTACCTGCTTTTCATTGCAGCAGTTGGCGTTATTGGATTAACAATCAGCAGTTTATACAGTAGCAGCAGGTGGCCCTGAGTCATCTAGTTAAATTTCGACACTGAATGAACTTTTTTCTCATGCTTTGTCACACTGTCTTTATGGTACTAGAACACAATGATCTGACAAGAGTAATATTCTAATAATAACACGGCATTTATGAAATTAGGACACATGAGAGAGACTATCTGACTGCCCAAACTAATTCATTTTTCATTGTACCTCACTGCCCTCATGTTCATTTAAACAGTCAAATCTATTCAGTGCAATTTATGCCAAAGAAATGCATAAGATGTTTCACCGTTGTAATTGAAGTGAACAAGTAAGGATGAACGAGAGACTGGGATTGAAAAGACAGGGGAGAGACAGAGAGAGAGAGAGAGACCGACAGAGAGAGCGGGATTGAGGGGGATTATCATTGTTCAGTGGGTTAATCTGTCAGTGTAGTAAACAGCTGTAATCTGATGACCTGCTGGACTTGACCGCCCGGGAAACCTCCTGCACCTCATAACAGATGGCCAAACACGTCACACACTCACACACACTCACACACACACACACAGACTTACACAGAAACAGACAAACACCAGCGTGGAAAAACGCTCACGTTTGCAGTCAAAGCACAAAGTCAACATGTGTTTGACTGCACATATGGAATAAAAGTATTGCTCACTAAAAAGCGGGCATATGCGTAGGAAGAAATTGTACACACGTACTGTACACTGTACACAGTACAGCACCGAATTCACACAAATACACACTGCAACAGAAATACCAATATAGATTCAGTGATGGCATATGGTGGACAAGCAAACACTGCTGTCTCAACACTGTTGCTTAGCAGTGGGCAACATTTAGGGGACAAAAAAAAACATGGCAGCTTTACACACACAGCCAACAAGCTGTACAGCAGTGTTTCCCATTAATTACATAGACTCTGGCGGCCCGCCATATTCTATCTCTCTCTGCCATAGTTTCATAATGAACCGAAGATATTTCGGGTGGGCTGGCTGGCTCCGTGCGTGTCTCCTCCACAGCGGTGCGCAGCGACCGGCTCAAGCCTCTTTATTGGTGCAGCTGGTGGAGGGCTAATTTTAATACATTATTAACTAAATAATTAGGCTATATACTTCTTTTGAATAAATCATAGTTTATTGTTAGTTGATTTATATTTTGTATTAAGAATCTGAATCTGCCATGTAGCCTTACCGGTAACTAATATAGTCAAATAAAGGTCGTTAAGTTAAAAGTACAATGTTTTCCTCTGAGGTGTATTGGACTTGAAGTATAAAGCTACATAAAATAGAAATACTCAAGTAAAGTAGGCTACAAGTACTTCACATTTGTCCTGAAGTACAGTACTTGTGTAAATGTACTTAGTTCCATTCCTCCACTGCTAAAACAGGAGCACCAAGTTGTTTACAGGAGCACAGAGTTCTTCATTGATCTAGCCTCTTCATTCCGCTCTCAAAGTGCACCAGACCGATGCATTGAACTTTTAAATGCACAACATTTTCTTCCATTGTCCCCAGACCCCCCTCGAAGGTCAGAGGTCTACCCACCAAAGTGTCACCAAATCCTTCACCAAAAAGACAACATACAGAGTATGTTTAGTATATTATTTCCTCCTGGGACTGAGGTGTACTATGTATGTTTAATTCTCACTTAATCACACTGCTATATAGCACTATATAGCCTACGTTTAAAGTGATACCGATACCAATAGAGTATTTTATTTTTACTTTTCCTTTTCTAATTCAATACCCATCATGTGAAGCGTAGCACCCATCCTCCGGCTCCCCCTCAGGTTAACACTGTTAGCTCTGTCAGCACTGATGCCGCTGTTAGCAACGTTAGCTCCTAGCCGCTGCCCGCCGACTTAGCCATGTTGAGAGCCGTGTGCAGGCAGTACCGGCTGTTGTGTCTGCTGCGGTGAACGCTTGCAGGGATTGGCTGTGAGAAAACCAATTTTCTAGATCTGGGTACATAAAGGTTCTGCTGGTGTTATCTGGAGAAGTACTACTACTACTTAGTGACAGTACACATGTTAAGGCACTTTTCTCCAGAGTAAAAACCAATTTAGACAATCATAAAAGCTTAAAACGTTGTTATAAATGAGTCTGAGGTCATTCTGAAATGTTAACAGCTATCTAAGACAGATGTAGAAAAGCTCTGCAGTAAATGATTGTAGAGCTGGGCGAAATGGAGAAAATCAAATGTTATATTTTTGACAGAATGCCTCAATATTGTTATTGTAGGGTTGACCATTAATGCTTTCGCAAAATATATAAAAATAGATTTTTTTTTATCAATAATTATCAGTAATGTGGATGTAATGACTAAGTGTGTAAAGGCAAAAATCAGAACAGCTAGAACAGTTAAATTACATTAGCCTTTAAAACCAGGAAACATTTATGCCACATTGTGATATTACAATATCCAAAATCTAAGACAATTTCTAGTCTCATATCACAATATCGATATATTGCTGCTATGTTGCCCAGCCATACATAATTGCCTTTAAATTAAGGATTAATTAAAAAACAAACAAAACAGATATGAATTTGATATGGATACATAATACGTTGCAGTACATACGTAATGCATTCATGAGAGAAATGCACACTCACATGTACATGGTTAACTTCATGCTTACACTTAAATCATTGAAAAACAAATATGTGAACAGTCTCAAGCAAAACAACAGTGCACCTAGAGAGCTGCACAGAGGTAAGAGGATGTAAAACAGATGCACACATCTGATTGGTTGGCTGTCAACAGGTCAACACCCGGCTAGCTTTTCCTCCAGGAAAAAAAGCAGATGTCGAACAGCATAAAACAGCCATCAAATCAGTGCCAAACCTCTCAGTGCACACTAATCCACAGAAGAGCTTTCCCAAAATAAGTCTGCCCTCCCCACTCATCACACAGGGTTACACACACTATGAATCCCAGTACGTCACACATTTGTTGTAGGGAATGGATGATAGAGAACATCTGCCTGTCAGGTCAAAATACATCAGTACACCTGCACACCATGAAAAGACCTCACGGAAACATCAGCTGAGTTTAGGCTCAAAGTCCAATTTAAATGAACATCATGAGGTTAAGCGGGCTGGTTCAATTCTCAAAATGCATAATTAGATTTTTTGATGGCAATGTATGAATTAATTTAATTGCCCAGACTTCACATTGTTTTGATCCTTAATCCAATTAGTATGTAATTAATTGCCTCAGTGTGTCTTTGTGTCTAAAAGTATCCTTCTGCAGCCATCAGTGGTTTAGCTGCTGAACCATGATCAACACCATCTCCTACTGGGACACTATTGATTCCCTGCGTCTTGTTGTTCTTTTTGCCTCACAGATTTTTTGTTTTCTGTCTGAAGAAAATAAAAAATAAGCAGCCATATTTTGAAACAATTGCTTTTTGGCATCGCATGAGCTTGGTTTGAATAATGCTGAAAAATGCTCACTTCCCTGCATGTTTCGAGATGAAGTTCCTAAACGTCTGCATTCATTGTATTTTTTGTTTGACTATTTTATCAAAACAATTACACATATTTAGTGTTTTCCCAGAATATTACTCTCTCAGGTTGAACCACCCTGACATTAAGACCAGCTAATTGGCCTCAGAGTGCCATCTAGTCGTCAGAGGAGGTTAGATTAAGTAAAGGTGATTTACAAAGGTTTATATATGTGCTCTTGAATTCACATTAATATAAAACAGTAATTCAAACAAAGCATAATATCATTGACCAGTAACGTGAATATCACCACACCAATCCTGACACATTCTCAGGTAGAGACAAACGTGTTTTGCCTCCGTTAGCTAGCTAACGTTCCTTCACATGCACTGATGTGGGAGACAACGCTGCGCCAGTAACAGCTCCGAACATAACACTTACTTACAGCCCAGTGTATTTATTCTCCTGTTTAGGGCATCATTTGTGAAGGTGGTCCTCAACAATCAGAATTGGTCCTTGTTACAAAAGGTTGAGAACCCCCGATTCAGACGACCTTCCATCACTAAAACTCAAAATAATAGAATTCTATTTAATGAAAACTAAGCTGCAGACTTCCGTTAGTCAGCAAGCAGATGTTAACAGACACGTACTATTTGCACGAACACAAACACACTTTCAAGCATAGCTGGAAAGGGCTCAAACGCACACCTCCACACACAGTAATGTAGGTCACTGGCGATTGTGAAAATCCCATGATACATGTCACTGACAGATTTATTCCGGCTCCTTTTTCTTTTTCCCCTCATCTCACTCAGTCTCCTGACTGCTGTGTCCTCCTCTCAGACACAGCTGCAGTTTCAGCGGCTGCAGCCTAAATAGCGGCGGTGTCGATTAGGGTTGGGCCGATGGACAATACCACAATACCACTGAGAATCCAAAGATTGGGTAGAATTGTAGTTTTAGTGGAGCTCTTGAGACATGCCTGTGCTCTGATGATGCCAGATCTAAGCAGGAAGTGTCAAGTTCCCCTTCTCACACCAGGGGATTACGTCTAAATTTGGGTTTCACTGGGTCTCAATGTGGAAGAAAAAGAGCGTCAGTCAGTGTTTTAGGTGTTCATGATACATCAACGGTTATTACAAATACAAGTAGGACAATCAAAGTTTCCTTTGGCTGTTTTTTGCTCCGACTTTGGATTGTGTTGGTGTACAGTAGTGTGAAATAATTGTTGAAAAATGTCTTCCTGTGAAGCAGTGAGAATAAGGAAAAGTGTCAGCGGTTTAAAAAAAGGAAAACAGGACCAAACTTGATGCTGTCTTTGTGTGTTTCAGTATGGACGGTCGGACAGCTACCGCGTGGCCACCACGCAGGACAAGGACGAGAAGGAGTCGCCCAAGAAGAAGGGAGGCAAGGATCTGGATGACCTCAAGAAGGAAGTTCCCATCGTGAGTGCACCGCTTCCTGCGACCTCGTTGCAATTTGTCACATGTTTCCTTTGGTTGCCTCTTATTCACCTGCTTTGAATACCAGATTTGGTGGCACACAACAACCTGGAAGTCTCATTTAAAATCAATTACAGAAAAACATTCATAGATAGTGCATCCTGGCCTCAGTCCAGCATTCAAAGCGCTGCGATTCCAACTCTAATCTAATCTGAAAAGGAGATAACAGACTCTGTAGCAGCTGCTGTAGTTTGAGCTAATATGCCAGAGCAATTTAATCGTATTGTGGAAGGATTTGCTCCGATACGGGGCAGGAAGTCAAACCCTCAGGATAGCCCCTGTTAAAGAACTGAATGAGATGGGGCACTTACACGTATTGATTTCCAAAGTATTATTTATCGATCAAACCTTTTTTGTCAAATACAAACAAATGATTGTGTAAAACTTAACTGTCTCAACCAAGAGGACACAGAACAATATGGAGAGTTCTAAACTAAATCTAAAACATTTGAATTCATTTCTTGCTTTGCAGTTTAGCAAATTATATTTCTCACATGAAACCAACATTTTTCCGTAACATTTTGACATCACTTCATAGTATCATTCATGCAGTCTAATTTTAAACTGATGATTAACGAGAGGTTGTTTAAGTTTGCTTTGTTTTTGAATTTCTTTGTAGACGGAACACAAAATGTCTGTTGAGGAGGTTTGCCGGAAATACACCACTGATATCGTCCAGGTAGGTCGTTCAGAAATGACACCTTCAGACCGGCAGGTCACCTTTAGATGGTTGTTTGATTCAACAATGATTCAATCAAGTATCTCCTATTCACAACACTTTCTTTCTTCCCTCCTCTTTTCTGCCCTCTCCTCTTTCCTCTGTCCACCCTCTGTTCCTTTCCTGCGTCCTCTCTATAACTCCAACCTCTCCGCTGCTCTCTTGCCTCCGCTCATCCATCCATCTCCTTTAATCCACCTTCCATCTTTTCCTCTCCGCTTCCTCTGCCCCTCTCAGGGTTTGACCAATGCCAAGGCAGCAGAGTACCTGACCAGGGATGGCCTCAACGCCCTGACTCCGCCCCCCACCACCCCAGAGTGGGTCAAGTTCTGTCGCCAGCTGTTCGGTGGCTTCTCCATCCTGCTGTGGATCGGCGCCATCCTCTGCTTCCTGGCCTACGCCATCCAGGCTGCCACGGAGGACGAGCCCGCCGGGGATAACGTAAGTGGAGAGTTGAAGGGGTGGAGGCCTGGGGCGATATGATGACATCACCGTTCAACACCATATTGGTTGGCGTCGCTAATGGTCCTCACGTGTCCACGATAACAGAACGATAATCCTTTATGCTACTCCTGCACTTATTCAGTTTCTCTTTCTCTATTTACTTTCTCCGTGCTTCACCACATTGTTGTAGCATATCAAAAGTAGCAACATGCTAGCATATGTGTAATTCTGTGTTACCATGGTGCTTTTAGATTTCTCCTAGATCGCCCTGTTAAAAGTTTTTGACCGCAGTGAAAATATAGTTTTTAAAAGGTTAAATGCCAAATATGGATTGAAGTTTGGAAATTATTACGTCTATCTTTTTTATATTTTGACTATGACCCTATGTGTGTGTTTGAGAGTGGTGAGACCGTACGAGGGCCGTTACTACAGTGGAGTGGTCTGATTTATTCATCTCAGCTCACTGCCTCTACATCGTGGCCACTTAAGCGAATTCCAACAAATGCGTCTCCATCCATAGGTATCTATATCTATGGGCGTCTCTCTCTTCAGCTTTTTTTGGACAATAATTTTGTATATTGTTGTTATCAGTAGGGCATTCCCAATATCACCCAACCCTCGACTGTAGAATTCTCAGTCCCACCACTACTTGTACAGTACCTGTAAGAAGCCAGATATCAAAAACCACCAGATGGGGGGGTTACACACGCAGAGAACTGTGAGTCCTGTGTGTGTGTGTGTGTGGGTGTGTGTGTGTGTGTGTGTGTGCGCTCCCCGTCCTCCAGCACATCACTCAAAAAGCGATATGCTGAGTCACCACTCCTCAGGGACTGAGCTTTGTCAGTGACAAAGGTTGTGTCAGCCGTTAGTCTGAATCATGCCGGCCCAAAACCCGTCGTTAGGGTGACAGACACCATCCTGTTCACATCCACTTTTGAACCCGCTACAGGGAGCACGTGACTCCCGGCGATTGTAATGGCAGGCTAAGAGGAGGGCGTTCATGGGTCAGCACCATTCCATGTCGGGGTCACTATGCAGAGTAGAGCCGAAGGGACTGAGGCTAAGCGGCACTGACACACACAGTATGACAGGACAACAACAACTGTGATGAGTCAGCATGAGTTACACACCCAGAATATAAACTCACACCGATTACTAGTAGCAGTTACGTCAGATGGTGCAGCACATGGATGGGAGGATTTAGACCTTCTGGGGTGATCCTTTAGACATGTGACAATAGAGCACAGTCTTTAAACCACTCACAGAGTAGACTGCAAAGAGATGGACAGCCTCCGTGTGAGTCCACACCACATGCTGCCGTCAGGTGAAAACATAAATAAAAGACTTATTGTTTTATATTCATGACAGAATGTGTCACTGATGGTTTCTCAACTCGGTCTCTCTGTGTGTGTCTCTCCACTCGTCTATTTCTTCTCCCGTGACACATTTTTAGATACAGGTGAAGTTAAACATGAGGTCTCATCTTTGTTTCCCTGCCTGTCTTTGCAGTTGTATCTGGGTATCGTGTTGTCAGCCGTGGTCATCATCACCGGCTGCTTCTCCTACTTCCAGGAAGCTAAGAGCTCCAAGATCATGGAGTCCTTTAAGAACATGGTCCCTCAGGTACTGGATGCTCATTAGTTCAACCAGGATATTCTGATCCTTTTTTGTACTAATTGTTGCTAAAAGGGTTTTAACTAAAAAAAATGCAAGATGAAAATGTGCAGGGTTACGCATTTAGTTGGATTCCATAATACATTTTAGGCAAGGGATCAAAAAACAACAACTTTTGTGGCAATGCTGACAAGATTCTCACAGCCATTGACTTAGAAATTAAAATGATAAATAAATAAGTTCATTGTAATATGTTGAGTCTATCAACTCATAAAGGGGAATTTAATGCTGTAAATTATTTCAAAATATATATAAGATATATACATCATATTTAGAAGATGGCAACAAAAGATTTCTTCAGAATGAAAAGTGAATCAATGCTTGTAAATGAAAACAGGTACTTTTATTAGATATTAGATATTACAGAGGTATTCCACACTTAAACATGTTTTTTTTGCTGTTAACTGAATGGTATAACTACTGTGATGAAGCACATCAATGCTGGTGTGACATTTCTTAATAGATTTATTGAAATGGGCCTATCATGGTTTGGAAATGGCTCAACACTCTTATACTGTTTGAAAGCAGGCCTTAACCTTGAAAGGCCGATGCGCTGAGATAGAGTCGACCGGTTGGGACTTCTCTACGTCATGAAGCGCTACGTTACCAGAGACATTTCACAAAGGAGACGGAACTGAGAGTCAGTCACAATCTGTGTCTGCCCCGCGCCTTTAGGAGACTAGCGCTAGGTCCTGAGTATATTAACTGCAATGGGAGAACACAGATTAGGACAGATTATTTTGCTCCATAGTCAGCAAAGTAAAAAAAATTACACATATCTTCTGAAAATCAGACACTGACACTTCTTCAGACTGACAAATCTAGAGAAAATGAACTTTGTTGCAGACCTTTCTCTGTCTCAGCAACACACTCTCGCAACATCTGGCAACTGGCGTTGGCCAGCGCCCTACCTAATGAATTTTAGTAATGCTAAATGTAGCTGTGTAAATATCTACTCTTAGCAAAAGAAAATATAAATACATTATGCAAATATAACTTAATCTGCTTTCATCCGTCCACACGACGCTCACGTGGGTGGGTGGGGGGAGGCTCAGTGGTCGATGACTGTCAACCGGGGATGAACGATCGCCTAAGTACTCTACAGTATGAGGCTGCTCATTAATTCACACAGTAATTCCTGGAGGTACTAAACCTGAGTAATGAAAAAGAATGATGGAAACAAATCAGGTCATAATGAGTATATTACATTGGGTTCCTAAGTAACGCAGGTGTTTATTAGGTGGACAACTATAGTTTATGAAGCTGCAGGCCACACTATCATGCTGTCACAGCTAGCACACTAAGTCCCCAATCTGTGATGTATCTTTCAATTGCTTTAGTTTCTTGGTTATTTCATCTTTTCTCTAAATAACGGTTTGTGTTATTTTTTGGCTTTACTGTTTTGATCTCTCTCTCTTTCTCTTTCTTCCTCTCTCTCTCGCTCTCTCTCTCTCTCTCCCTCTCTTTCTCTGTTCCCAGCAAGCCCTGGTGATCCGTGAGGGAGAGAAGATGCAGATCAATGCTGAGCAAGTGGTGGCTGGAGACCTGGTGGAGGTGAAAGGAGGAGACAGGATCCCCGCTGACCTCCGCATCATCTCCTCCCACGGCTGCAAGGTGGGTTCCAGGCACAGATACACTCCTGCAGTCACGGAAAAGGCAAGGAGGACTTACTGTCGTTATGCAACACAGGGTTGCTCAAAGAGATACAGTTCTAGCCTATTCGCTACACAAGAAAAACTTGACAAAACAGAAACATATTTTTTTTTTTGCATCCTGGCTACGAGTGTGCGACTTATTTCCTTTACACTTGGTGGTCAGCACCTCTCCAACACAGGTGTGCGTTCCCTCTCTCTCATTCGGCTTGATCAGCAAGCAGCATTGATGTAAACGGAGTCCCGCCCTCTCTCTCCTGTGGTACACTCGCCAAGTGCAGCTTGATCCGGATGCCAGGATGGAGCTAGCTAACACATTCAGCTCACTAGCTTTCAGTGGCAGTAAAGATGTGTTTGCACCATCAAAGTATAAGTAAAAGTGGTTAATACGAGTGTGATCAGCAGTGAGTCTTCGTCCACCATTTATGGAATCAACCTGATGTGTCGGGTGATCAATTATTAACTAAAACAAGCACAGCCGCCTCACAATGTGATAATAAGACATAATTTTGAATTACTGGTGTAACAGACCTTTGTTGATCCGTATGGATGCTCTCGGATTAATTACACAGATTAACCTTCATAGTGTGAAATAAAGTATTACTGACAATCGTTATCGGCGATATTCAGTAACATATCAGGAGATCGGTATTAATGCTTTCTATTTACCGATGCTTGATAATGTTACATTATTAACAACTATTCTTGTTTTGAAATTGAGAGGAGGAAGTTTGTAACGTTGGCAGCGTCGGTTAAATTATGATGCGTTCAGGCTCTGTTCAGTGAAAATGAGTATTGCCGAAGGTACATTTTTACTTCATCATGATTCTGATGCAATCTTGTAAAATGTAGTTTTGGTAAGAAACTTGAATAAATCCAGATGTTTGAAGGAGACGTTTTCACAGCAACATAAATATATATTAGAGCTCTAAGCAGATTATAATACATCATTATAACTACTAATGACAAGATTTGTTTTATTCTTTGAAAATACATTATTTTGTATCCTAATCACTTGAATATTGTGTTTTTTATGCAAAAAAGGCTATAGATTATTATAACAAAGTAATCAAAGAATTGTTGATGGTTTACACTGACGTTGAAAGGATGGTGGTGAAAAGAAATAGTCTGGAGCCTTGTAGACCAGCTGCTATAACAAAACAAAACGATCCGTATCTGCCAATATGGATCATCAGTTATTGGTATCTGTGGCCTAAAACCGTCATTGGGGATCTCGCAAAGTTATTTTTGCTCCCTTTGTTCTTTTGTGCTGATTCGATCCGTGACTCAAATCTGTGACAGGATCCGCAGCGTCACTTTACCCCTATTCTAAATTCATTATACTAGAACCACTTTGCAAACATTAACCTGATTGCTTTTAAAGTCCTGATTTCCCCCAAATGGTGCAGGTGCAAGCTGAGGATAAACATAGATCTGCATGTTAAATTCACACCGCTTTTCCTCATATGAACCTCAAATCAGTCTCAGAATGTCATCTGGGAATGAACTCTTGATGAAAACAGCCTCTGCACAGCTCCACACAGCCATTAGAGGCACAGCAAGCATGAACCAAGAAATCTGGAATGAAGAAACGAATCCCCACTCCCTCATCTTCCTCTTTGTCCCTCTCTCTTGCACACTTAACCAGGTGGACAACTCATCCCTGACCGGTGAATCAGAGCCCCAGACCAGGTCACCTGACTGTACCCATGACAACCCACTGGAAACCCGCAACATTGCCTTCTTCTCCACCAACTGTGTCGAGGGTAAGGTCGCCATCACCCGTATCCGAAACCTAAATCATCATTATTACCTTCATATGCATCACATGTACTGTACAAAGCATTTACTGTGAGGGTTAGAAAACCTTTTTGTGTGTGTGTGTGTGTGTGTGTGTGTGTTTATGTTAATTCACATGGCTGCGTGTGTGTTTGTATTGTTCCGGTTCAGTGCTCAGATAGTCCTGCAAACAAAGACGCTGCACATTAGCTCTCGCTGTAGGCCCTGGTCAAAGTGTTTGGTGGTCAGTGGCCTCACCGGTCATCGGGGGAGCCCACTGACTGGAAACGTGACCCCACTGTGCCTGTTCCATCCCAGCATGTCACCGGGAAGACCCTCACAGTGGTAGAACAGGAAAACCATGATGTGTGGGGCCCTCCTGTGGACACACTGTTACATTGCATTTAAAAACTGCTCCCTCTACTCTTATTGTTCAGGAACGGCGCGTGGCATTGTTGTGTGCACTGGCGATCGCACAGTGATGGGCCGCATCGCCACTCTCACCTCAAACCTGGAGACTGGCAAGGTACCATACTCACTGTTGTTCATTATTCCACAATGGTGACACAAATGAGGTTGCTTACTAGAAACAGGCTCTTTTATGTAGTCGTTCAGCTTCTCATTCACATACTCATTTTGAATGGAAAGACAGCAGCTAAGTGTTCTCAGCCTCATTATGTTTCGTAAAGTGTAAAAACAAGCTATTTAGACAAATAACCCCAAGTTGCTTCGCAGCAGCTTACTGCTCCTAAAATGCTTAATTGCAAAAAAAATATAATAAATGTAGACAGTCAATCATCTTCTTTAAACAATCCAAACACCTTCTTCTTCTACTCCTCAGACTCCCATTGCCAAGGAGATCGAGCACTTCATCCAGATCATCACCGGCGTGGCCGTGTTCCTCGGCGTGTCCTTCTTCGTGCTGTCAATCGTCCTGGGTTACTCCTGGCTGGAGGCCGTCATCTTCCTCATTGGCATCATTGTTGCTAATGTGCCAGAGGGACTGCTGGCCACCGTCACTGTGAGTAGGCAGAGACATTACAAACGTGTGAGGGGTCTTCTGCAACCCACCAGACCCGCCTTCAAACCCAGTCCCCGTCTCGTTTACAATGCTTTGCAGGTGTGACTTTTTTGCCGCGTCATCGCCATTCAAATCTATGCAACCAATAAGTTTATGATGACTTTTTTTTCATCAGTGCACAACAGAGGACGAAATTATTTATCGAGCCTCTTGAGTTTGATGTCAAAGTGCACCGAATTGATACATTTAACTTGAACATTTGTGTATTTCTTTATATCACAATATATATTACCAATATCATGCAGCCCTATTTCTAGTACGTGTGCATGTGTTTACAAGGTTGTTGTCCAGTTGTATCATTCCTTCATTTGGAGCAGTTTTTCCTTCCTGTCTTGTTTCTCTTCACAGTCCTAGTGCGTTTCGGTTCTTCCTCAGTTCCCAGTGTTTTTGTGCAGACTTGGGTATTTTTCATATATTTCATATATTGGATAAATCGGAGAAGCTACACAAAATCAGGGAAACCAGTAACAGCTTATAAAATGTTCTTTTTGTTGTTGCCATGACATGTCTCTTTTTTTTTTTTATTAGTAAGCCTACTCCCCACCGTTGTAGACCATTACATATGCCACGCTCTATTGTAGACTCTATCATTCGATTCCCCCCAAGCAGTTTGTGGTTTCACCCACGTCTGATTGTGTGTTTCAGGCCGATGTTGTCTCGTCTGCTGTTTGATCTCGTCTTTGCATCCCGTATCCCTGCTCTTGTGTTTATATCAGTGTGTTGATGTCGCTGTACGTCTCTCGTGTGCATCTCTGCGTGTATCTTATGTGCTTTTAACATTCTCTCTGTGTCAGTACCTGTTCCCGTGGTGACGGTGGTGTATTGTCCTGTGTTTGTATTTCTCTCTTTACATCTCTCCTTCTCCCAAAGCAGCCCCACATGTGTTTTGTGTGTTTGTGTTCTCTCCATCTTTCTCTCCGTATGTCTCTCTCTCTCTCTTCCAGGCCAGTCGTGGTGCTGCCTGCAATGACAACGGCTAGCTAATGTAATGATATTCGGCTAATGACCAGTCAGCTTCTTGAAATGAATTGGGCCTTCCTCTGCTTGGCTAGTTCTGTTTTGCCCACGGGTCTTTTGCCGTACTTGGCATGATGGCATAACGCACCCGCCGCTCTGCTTCACCGCTTCACTCGTTCACGCCTCATTCTCTCTCTCTGCATCTCTTCTTTTTGGGCTGTTTTTTATTTTATTTTCGGAAAGGAGGTTAAGATTTTAGTGCATTTTGCTATAGAGGAGCATTGTTAAGAGCAGGGTGAACGTCTCCAGGTGTCGGGGCGGGGTTTCTTCCTGGGTGTGCTTTGTAGTTTCAGGTACAGTATGGCACTGAGTTAGTTGAATACCTGGAGATGTTCATCTGTCCTATTAGTTTAACACACGGATACTAATAATGTTTTCTCTTTCTCTTTTGGTTTTGTTTGTTTCTACTCTCTCCTTTTCAACGACTCCTTTCCTTCCTGTCGTTCCTCCTCTCCTCGCTGTCGCGTCCTCTCTCTGCTGTTCCCTCTTTGCTTCTCTCAGGTTTGTCTGACGCTGACAGCTAAGCGAATGGCTCGCAAGAACTGCCTGGTGAAGAACTTGGAGGCCGTGGAAACCCTGGGCTCCACCTCCACCATCTGCTCCGACAAGACCGGCACTCTGACCCAGAACCGGATGACCGTGGCCCACATGTGGTTCGACAACCAGATCCACGAGGCCGACACCACCGAGGACCAGTCCGGTGAGATTTGCCCACCTTCTGTCCCTGCTTCCATGCAGCGTGCATTCAAACTTCCTGCATCATATTCAGAATATTTGTGACCTGAGTTCCTCTCTGGCAGCATCAGTTACTGGCCGGCATCTAACATGAACATTTGCCAAATGTATATTTGGTAGAAACCTCAAAAGCTGATCTGTCTTGTTTTTATCAAGTCATCGTCTTCTTGTACAAATGGGAAAAAATGGAAATGTAATATATTTGAAGAAAGAAAGGATTCACTTCTCTGACTTATGGCATAAAGTATTCCAAAATAACGTTACATTATACTCTCGTCTCTCTGACCCTCATAAGCGTTGGATTTGTGTCCGTTTGACAAACAAACGCACAATTACAGGCTAATTTAAAAACAACGGTAACGGGACAGCAGCACCATCCTTCTGCTTTCGCTCCTTTTTTGTGATGGATTCATGTAGCCGGGCGTTAGCTTTATCAAGCGTTAGCTTTAAATTAGCTTCATCAGGCTTCATTGCTCCGTCATAAAACAGAGAGAAAACAGATGGAAGGTGTTTCTCTCCGTTACGTTTGTTTGTAGATTAGAACCGGAGGACGTGCGTTTGCCTCTGCACTTTCTCTCCACTGTATCATCGGCCTCTGCCTCCTCTGTTTTTCAAAGGAGACATTGTTTCTTGTTATTCATCACAAGACAGGGTCAGAAATTTACATATTTTTTGGGGGGCAATTTTTGCCCCCACTGACTGAAATCCAGGGGCATTTTCAAAAAATTGGGGGCACTTTTTGAAACTTGTGAAATAACATTTAACCTTTGTTCAAAATAATAAATATACTTATTTAGGCTTACAGTATATGAGCAATTGTCATCAAATGGCAATAATAAGACTATTAGGCAGTAGTCTACAGATTCAAAGTGTTTTCTTCGATTTTTTTTAACAAAAAACAAACATAAATCAGACAATCATATTCAATTTTATTCTTATTTATTTGTGGTTATTTATTGTTATTATTAAATGTTTTAAACAACTATTAACAATTATTACATCAACAATGCCTTGATTACATATACATCAGTCATTGTATGGAATTATTGAGAAAGATGTTTTTGTGGCGCCTCAAATATTGTGATATTACCCATTTTTGTCCTGAACTTATGCATTAGTCATTGTGTGGAATTTTTGAGAAAAACATTTTTATAGCACCTTAAAAATTTCAAAAATGTGCCATTTGAAGGTACAAATTCAGTTCAGAGTTTTTACTTAATTAAAATATCTTAATTGACTGTCAGTCAGGTATTATTCATTTCCAGCAACCCTCAAAACAAAGAATAAAGACACTTTACGCACAATTTAGGTGTATTTTCCCTTTAACTCACGAGATGCAGGTAGCATGTTTTATACTTAATGTGAATATAATTCATTTAATCTAATTTCCATTATGCAATATGTATACTTTGTTGGCATCTTATTCTGAAAACCGGATGTTCGTCTGAAGAAACCGGATGTTGTCTCACGTTAATCTTTCCGTTAACTTTCAAAGTCCTTCGCTCGCTCCCGATCTGCGCCGTTTAAATGAGTTTACCGTGAATTTCAGCATATAGGTGCACTACAATTTAAGTGTCTGCTGAGTTGACCGCAGTCACAGGTCTGTTTAAGAAGCGCTCCATTTATTTATTCGTTTAGAAAGTTCGGGGGCATTTTTTGCCCCTCTCCTAGTGATATCAGGGGCAAAATTATATTTCTTAGGGGCAGTTTTGCCCTTTGCCCTCGTGTATTTCCGACGCTGTCACAAGAGCTCCAAAAGGCTTTGGCTTACTCCCCTCACCTTGACACGAACGTTGTTGCCAACTATTGTTACATTGGTTTTCATTGATTGCAGGCCTGCAGGGTACCTTGCTGCCCTGCTTGGGTGAATGCGATAGGCTGAGACAACTGTCAATAAAGGTTCCTATTTTTCCCTCCCCCATCATTCTCTAGGCTGCTCCTTCGACAAAAGCTCCTCAACATGGGTGTCTTTGGCCCGCATCGCTGCTCTGTGCAACCGCGCCGTGTTCAAGGCCGGCCAGGATGCTTTGCCCATCCTTAAGCGCGAGGTGGCCGGCGACGCCTCCGAGTCCGCCCTGCTGAAGTGTATCGAGCTGTCCTGTGGCGCCGTCAAAGCCATGAGAGAGAAGAACAAGAAGGTGGCCGAGATCCCCTTCAACTCCACCAACAAGTACCAGGTTCGTCCCCTTTCATTTGTAGTAAATGGGCCAAAACATGCAAGAACACTACAAACTTCTTAAAAGGTTCTCATGCTGACACCATGATCTGTTCCCATTAGCTCTCAATTCATGAAAATGATGATGAAAACGACAACCGCTACCTGTTGGTGATGAAGGGAGCCCCAGAGAGGATCCTCGACCGCAGCTCCACCATCATGGTGCAGGGCAAGGAGCAGCCCATGGACGATGAGCTGAAGGAGGCCTTCCAGAACGCCTATCTGGAACTGGGAGGACTGGGAGAGAGAGTACTGGGTAAGGAGGACAGGAACACAGTGGTAATTTAACAAAAGGTTCATGATTTGGAATTTGAACTTACCAGAAAAGTTTTAATGTATCCTGTATTTTATTGCATAGTATTATCCTGTATGTATAATTCATTCGTCCCTAATCCCTCCAGGTTTCTGCCACGTGTTCCTGCCAGAGGACAAGTACCCCAAAGGTTTTGCCTTCGATACAGATGATGTCAACTTTGAGACAGACAACCTTTGCTTTGTAGGCCTCATGTCCATGATCGACCCTCCCCGTGCTGCCGTGCCCGACGCCGTGGGCAAGTGCCGCTCCGCTGGCATCAAGGTGGGCACCTTTCAAGTCTGGCATTTTAAAGGGCCTGGAAAAGCAGAACATGGCATCCACCAGGATGTGAAGGCTGTAGATGATATTTTGAGAGGAAGAGTGTTTTATTAATAGTGTGAATTGTGTTCTTTTTCCTCTTTTACTCTTCTTCTCATCCTGTTCCTTCTATCTTAACTGTTGGCCTTTTCTCCTCTTGCTCTTTGTTTTATTTTTGTCTCTTTCTCCTTCCTGTTCACCGCCAACCTCTTTACCTTCTTCTTCCTCCTCCTATATTTCAGGTCATTATGGTGACTGGTGACCACCCAATCACAGCCAAGGCCATTGCTAAAGGTGTGGGTATCATCTCCGAGGGCAACGAGACAGTGGAAGACATTGCTGCACGCCTCAACATCCCCGTCAGCCAGGTCAACCCAAGGTAAGACAGAAACATGAACTATGTTAACATGCATTACAATTACAATCACTTTTACACAGCAGCTGCTCTATTTAACGACAGCGTATCAGGGTCATATTAGGTAAAAAATATATATATTATTGAGCCGGGGCTATATGGAATATCCATAACTTGGATATTCTCTGAGATTTAACTGGCTAATTTACAAGAAAAGAAGCATGAATATTCTCTGAGATTATAAAGTCATAAATTTGCGACAAAAAACATCCTTTGAGATTAAAGTCACTAGGTTACGAGTTGGGGTTTTTTTTTTGGTCAAAGAAACAACGTTTCACTTTGCAAGGTTGGAGCAACTTCATCACACCGCAGTGCGAAATATACTAATTATAATAGTATTTATTTATGTTCATAAAAAAACACTGAAAGAACATGAAGGAAAACGCGTATTTGAATCTTTCAGGACCTTCGCCTCGCTCAGAGGCCTTCTGTCGGAGGGGACAGAAGCAGCAATCTTTAGAATTTATCTGGTAAAATAGAACAACAGGTCTAACCTGAGGATAGAGTACAACGCATAGCAATGTCAGCATTAGCTTGGTAAAAGAACCCAGAAGGAGCATGCAGGAGAATGCGTATACGTACGTTTATTTCACAACCTTCACTTCGCTCAGAGGCCCTCATCATCATAAGAACACGAGGAAATTCAGACTGGCGCACAATTTCATAGTGCTCATTTTCATTTTCCTCTTTAATCTAAGGGAAATCTGAGTTATTTCTCAGAATATTACCTCCCTCCCCCGGCTCCATAGTTTATTTATTATTACCTACAGCTGCCCTAACATGCAATGGAGCAGTATGGTCTTTTACTTTGCAGCATGACAGTAGTTTTTATGATTTAGTATACAAAAGAGAATTTTGCTGTTATCTCTGTTGTGTAGGGACGCCAAGGCCTGCGTGATCCACGGCACAGATCTGAAAGACGTCGATCAGGATCAGATGGACGACATTTTGAAGAACCACACGGAGATCGTCTTTGCCAGAACCTCCCCGCAACAGAAGCTCATCATCGTAGAAGGCTGCCAGAGACAGGTACACATACATGCATACAAGCTCATGGTTTTTAGCATTGTGCGTCCCGAATGAGAATGAAAACCATAAAGTGCGCTTCCTCCTCTTCTGTCAGGGTGCCATCGTGGCCGTGACAGGCGACGGTGTGAACGACTCACCAGCCCTGAAGAAAGCTGACATCGGCGTCGCCATGGGAATCTCTGGCTCAGACGTGTCCAAACAGGCAGCCGACATGATCCTGCTGGACGACAACTTTGCCTCCATCGTCACCGGAGTAGAAGAAGGTGAGGGAGGAACGAGAAAAGGGTCTGTGGAGAGAAAGATGAGCTCAAATGTTTTGTGCTTCGGGTCTAAGAAGAGCGAGAGTAAACTTAAGATCTTTAGGTGACAATCATGTAGGTTGCACATACTTATATTTCAGACAGTACATATGCAGTTCATATTTGAGAGGAGAAATACATTTTAGGATACTGCTAGCAAGAAGGATTTTGTATCTTCTTTCTATCTATTTCTTGTTCAGTCTCTGTTTGCCCTGTTTTTACCAGAATAGTAGAAGGAACAGTGAAAAAATGGTGCCAATAAATAAGATGAAAGGGCAAGAAAGACATTAATGAATGCTATGTTAATTAGTTAATAATAATAATGTATTTTAAAGAGCTAGCGGTGTGGGGTCTACTTTACATCAATACTCTATCTTATTAAACCGAAATGATCCTGCTTAAATCGATCCAAACTAAAAACCATAATAGCTGGAGCGTTCAGTCGTACGCTGGTGATGACGTCGTTACGTGACAACGAAACTACTGCTCTTCAAAATGAGCAGATGTCAACATCTCAAATATGTACATTGTTCAAATGATGTTTGTTGTGTTGAGAAGTATTTTTGTCATGTTTCTACATTCAGATTTGTTGAGGAAAAATATGTTTTGTGTGTTAGTTGCCGGGGGGGGGGGGGGGGGGGGGTGTTTTTTTTTTGTGTTTTTTTTTGTATGTGCTTAA